CTAGGTTAGGTAGTCGACTTCCCTAATGGCTTTGGCATGGTGAAGTTTGCTGACCTCTTGATTGATTACCTTCTAACGCTCTGGGGCAAAACTCCTTCGTTTTTGCTTAATCGGTCTGCCGATGGGATTCACACTTAGCTTGTGTGTGATAATCGAGGGGTCGATTACTTCCATGTCTTCTTGCTTCTAGGAGAATACTCCCCTATTCTCCTTTAGGAATTGGATGAAGAGGTCTTTTATTTCTTTGCTTAGCTTAGACCTGACGTAAACAAGGTGTTCTGGCTCCTCATCGAGCTGAACAGGCTCTAGCTCTTCTAATGGCGTTGGCCTAGTGTCCAGTTTGTCCCTCATATCTAGCTGGACATTCTCGACTTCTTTTTGCTTCATCGAGGTCATGTAGCACTCCCTTGCTACTCGCTGGTCTTCTCGGACCACTTCAACTCTATTTTTTGTAGGAAACTTCATAACTAAGTGATAGGTAGAAGGGATTGCCTTCATCGCGTTAAAGGAGGACCTTCCGAGAAGCATATTATATGCAGAAGGGACATCCACCACTAGGAATCTTACTGTGATGGTGGCCTGGCAAGGAGGATCTCCCATAGTGAGGAGGAGTTGGACTGAACCCAGGGGCAATACCCTCTCTCCTGCGAATCCCAACAGGCGAGCACTGACCGGCTCCAGCTTTGCCCTACCTATGCCCATTTTGTCAAACGCAGAAGCAAATATGATATCTGTTGAGCTCCCGTTGTCAATTAGAACTCGATAAACAGTTCTGTTTGCCACAACGGGTCATCATAGGGGTGTTGTTAGCCTTCCAAGTCTGAGTCTGAAAAGGTGATGGTTGTCTTTAGCCAAGGTGCCTTGGACATAGTGTGCATTTCCAGCGCTTCACCAGCTCTGATTCTGCGCAGGTGAGCCTTCTGGGCTGAACTGGACTCCCCACCTCCTGCGAATCCTCTAGAAATTACTCTAATTTTCCCCAGGGGCTATTAGTGCTGCACAGGAGCCTGTTGCTGAGGTAGTGGAGGTGGAAGGGCTCGGTCCTGATTATTCTGAGCCATATAATGGAGCAACTGCCCTCGCTAGATCAGGAACTCAATCTCTTTCTTAAATTGGATATAATCATCAGTGTGGTGACCATGATCCCTATGGAATTCGCAATACTTCGTGGGATCTCTTTTCACCGGGTCTGTTTTCATCCAAGATGGCCACTTCAGGAATTTCTCATTCTGCACCTCATATAAGATCTGAGATATCATTGCGGAGAGTGGGGGAGCTTCTGAGGTGTGTACCTTGGCTGTAACTTTGGCTGTGGCAGACCTAAGCGGTCTCTAACATCTCCCCTCCTTTTGGGATAGCGATCTCTGTCCCTTCTTGGAGACCTATCACGCCCTCTTTCTCTTCTGGGACTTCGGTTCCTTTTTTTTTATTCTTTCCCTTTGTCTTTTTGCGTAGATAAGCTTCCCACCTTTGATAGAAGAGCTTCCTCACCATTTATATATTTTTCTGCCTTAGTCAATACCTCAACCATACTTGCCTGAGGGTTCTTTGAAATTGAGAACATCAGGTCTTTGGATTGCACGCCTAGACCAGCTATAAATGTTGTAATGACAAATTTCTCATCTGGGACATTCACTTTCAGGGATTTCAAGTTGAATCACTGGACATAAGACCTGAGGTTCTCTTGAGGTTCTTGTTTCACGTTCAATAAGTGGTAGCTCGATTTTCTGTATATCCGAGCTCCTATGAAGTGAGATACGAAGGACATAGAAAGCTCTTTAAGGAGGAGATCGAGGCTAAAGGGAGCCTATTGAACCATTTCAGGGCTGACCCTTTTAGCGTGATGGCGAAGGCTCTACAACGCACTGGGTCCTAGAATCCGTGGAGCTCCATCTAGTTCTTGTAAGTATTTAGGTGGTCCACGAGGTCCTTTGTCCCATCAAAGGCTTCTATCTGCAACATCCTGAACTTTGGGGGGAGGGAAAAATGCAACATGTCTGCGGTGAATGGTGACTCGGTTTGCTGCACCAGGGCATCCATTGTAATTGGAGTCTTGCTCTTCATAACTTCCTTCATATGGCTGAACTCTTGCTGGATGTCATTAAAGCGTTGTTCCCAGTACTGTTATCTTCTCTCTTGTTGATAAGGGAGAAATTCATTCCTTTCACCCCCAACGTTTTAACTTTGCACCTCTTTGTTGCATCTATTCCTTGGGAGTGGATGAGGATCTTGTCCCCAGGTCTGACTATTTTTTCCTCCTTCATCAACTTCTCTGAGGGGATCGAGGTGTTGCTGCTCTTTGTGAGGGGGGTTATTCTGGCCTTCTTGGGCCGGTCGTGCCTCCTGAAGGCGTTGCAAGAGCTTCAGGAGCTCTTCATTCTGTTGTATAAAGCGTTGATTAACTAGACGAAGGGCCTCCAACTCATTATTTGTGTGGGGATTCCCCATGGAGAGATTTGTCTCTGGGACGTTCTCAGGCTGCTTGTCGTTGGCGGTTTCCTGTTGTTTTTGCATTCATGGTAGATTGGTTTGGCTTCTGCTCATGTTACGAGTTGAGACCATCAGTTACTAAAATATCAGCGTAATTGTAACAGGAACAATCTTTTCCATAGACGGTGCCAAACTGATGGTGTAAATTAATGTGGTGCAGACTTATGGTGGTGAACAGATGAGATGATTAGTAACTGGTTCTTAGGATCTGAGCTTCTAGGTTCGAAAGAGCGAAGACTAGTATCAAAAAAAAATGGGAAAGTGGGGGATTGACACAATAGAATTATAGTGGTTCACCAGTTGAGAAGCTCGGTTAATCCACTCTTCAATAGAGATTCTTACTCATTTTTCCTATTCTTCTAATTCAAAAAGTTTACAAGATAGAGTATATGTTATTAGGGTTCTCTCATTGTCTTCGGGGAGTTACATAATATTTATAGAACTGTTCCTAATTATGTGGGATCTGCGCCGAGATTCTCGCTATTTATCCGAGGAACTCTCCTTGATCTTAGAAGAGGATCTTAACTATTTAAGGATTTTATGCCTTAACTATGGCTCTTTGTCACCCTATAAGATTTCTGTTGTCATCCAGCAGCTCTCTTATCTTTTCCATTGTTGGCATGTCGGGGGGGGGGGGGGCTCTAGTTCTGATCCTTTGAACTCTTCGCATCTTTTCTGACCTCTTGGTCTGGCTTGTTTGTCCGACCTCCACGTCTGGGCTCATACTTGAAATTTATTCTAAGTACCGTCAATATTTTAGATAATAGAGGAGAAGTTCTTAAAAATATAATAAATTATAAAGGGCTCTGACTATAATTTTCAAACACATATATATATATATATATATATATATATATGAAGAAAGTTGTCTCCGCGCAAGTACAATGCGTGTGGTTTTCCACCAAGGTCAAGGTGGGGTGGTGGTGGGGGGGGGGGGGGGGG